GGTGAGAAAAGAGGAAGGAAGGAAGAAAGGAGAAAAGGAAGGAAAGAGGAAGGAAGGTGAGAAAAGAGGAAGGAAGGAAGGAAGGAAGGAAGGAAGGAGAGAAAAGAGGAAGGAAGGAGAGTAAGAGGAAGGAAAGAGGAAGGAAGGTGAGAAAAGAGGAAGGAAGGAAGGAAGGAGAAAAAGAGGAAGGAAGGAAGGAAGGAAGGAAGGAAGGAAGGAAGAAGAGATGACAGAAGGAAGGAAAAAACTAAAAAGAAGCAGATTGACTGCCTTCAGTCCAAAGTTTAGAAAAATCCGACGTCTTCACAGAGGCATCCTCACTTTTTCATCTCTTGATGAAAGACATGCCCTCTTTCACTTCGTCCTTGACAAAGCCAGATTTCAAACCCATAAAAGACGCCAGCAGACAGAAGATGGCCAGAACAGTCAAGAAAAGTTACGCCTGCTCCGTTTAATCCCAGGTCCATAGTTACGGCAACTCTCTCCACCACCACCACCCCCGGCCCCCTGAGAAAAACACCCCAGCCCCTCAGATCACTGGCACGGAGCAAAGGCTCCAACCTCCCTCCACCAAACCCACCCAGTTTCCCCCTTGCCCTCCAAGGCTGTGCCACAAGGTCGAGGGACACCACCTCACCTGCTCCTGGTCTGCCCTGCGAATCTAAACGAGGCTCCGGATGCAGCCAGGAGAAAAATTCACTCTGGCCCAGAGAAGCTCGGAGGGGGGAGGATTCCTGCACAGCCTCCTGAGCAATTCAGCACTCATTCCCATTCGCCGCTTGGTGCGCGGTGCGCGGTGCGCGCCGCCAGCCTCCCATGCCTCGTTCCAAGGGAAATACACCGAAGCTCAGCCCCAAACCTCCTGGGCATCTTTGAGAGCCATCCATCCATGCCAAGGAAATCCCCAGGATGGAATAAACATGGTCAGTTCACACAGTTTTCTCAAGACCTGGGATTGTGATCCCAAATGGATCCTTAGAGACTTATTGACCACAATACACACACACACACACCGATTCTGAGAAGTGCTGAGGAGCTGCACCAAGGGACTCTTCCCTCGTTAAGGTAGGAGACATCTGCTCCACCTGAGATCCAGGTATGGTCATCTGCTCCAATCCCCATACCCCTGGTGGCTGAGGACAGAACAGAGCTCAGGGTGAGGAGTGTAGGAGCTGGACTTACCCACAAGGTAAGGGGAGATCCGGAATCAGCCAGCCGGCTTGGGCACCTCTGTGTAGGAAGCAAGCAGGAAAGCAGCACAGCTGGAGAGAGAGAGAGAGAAAGAGAGAGGGAGGGAGAGAAAGAGTGAGTGTTAGGGAGAGAGAGAGAGAAACACACACACAGAGCGAGAAAGACACAGAAAGACACAGAGAGGGGGGGAGGGAGAGAATGGATGAAGACAGAGAAAGAGAGGGGGGAGGAGAGAGAGAGAGAGAGAGAGAGAGAGAGAGAGAGAGAGAGTCTTCCGGTGCTCAACTTCACAGTGGAGGAAGGAAGAAGTGCAGATGATGATCCAAGCATGTATCCTCTCCCAGTTAACCTTCTCTCCTCTCCCAATTAACCTTCTGGAACCACGTCAGAGAAGGGATGGGGGGGGGGAAATCTCCCTGTGACTCACGCTCAATGACATTTGAGAGAGAGAGAGAGAGAGAGAGAGAGAGAAAGAGAGAACCAGCCCAGCAGAG